AAAGGAAAAAGACCACATAATAAGGTTTTTGATTTGCTGTCCAAGTCATTTAGCTAAGCAAAAAAAACAGGAGAAAAAAAAGGTACAATGACTCAGTGGCTTATGTTCAATCTGGGCGACAAAGGCAGTGAATGACACTGCAAGCAGCAAAAGCTTAGGAAAAATGTGCGCAGTCATTTCACGTTTATCCTTGGAATAAAAGCAGTTCATGCATCATTGGTCAAAGAGTGTACGGATCAGGAAACCTGTCGATGGCGAGTCGGTTTCTCAGATGTTCGTCACCTTGTGAAAAATCCTTTTCAGCTTTGGTTTGGACAACACCACATGCTGGCTGGAGATTTAGTTAAAATGACTCAGGGGAAAACTATGAATCCCGAGTTAATAGCTATGGTTCAGGAGTCTGCAACCTTTACACTCTGAAGAGCCCTTAATTGAGTATATTCCAGTTAATTTACACACTTCGAACCAAAAACATTACATGACCTTTCAAAAAAAACATATTTAATAATTCTCTACCACAGTAGATTTTTATTATTTTTAAATAACCACTGTGCCATTTTAATTTTAAGTTAACTATCGGAAAAAGAAGAATTACATGTTTAATGGATTTTCCAACTCTATAAAAGATAGAAAATATATATCAGCTATATTTAGAGTCTAGTTATTTTCTGAAATTTCGGTCTGGAAAGATTCACACGAAGAAAGATCAGGAAGTGCAGTTCTATGTAAGCCGTTAGGTCTAGGTTAGAGACCTGTTAGAAACCCCGGAGTCTGACACTAGTGGTGAAATGGAGGTGTCAATGTCCATGGAGAAGGTTTGAAGGAGGGATGTCGATCAGCAGGAAGTGAGGATGGCCATGTCAGTGACCACCTTATGTCAAGGCAAGGAGTTGCAATAGGCTGGCTCATGATGAGGAGCTAATTTGTAGTTTTTCCTCCACACTGAATTTGCACCAAGTCTTCATCAGTCAATGTATAAAATGCTAAAAGCTCCATTTGTTAGTATATGTATATTACAAAAGCTTAGCTTGCTCTTCATCAACTTTAGCCAGAGTGATGAAGATCTGTCATTGATGGTTTAAAGAACTCTTTGATGCTCCGAAGTCACAGTTTGAAGATCCCTCTGGTTGGTTTGCATACGTTACTCATAGGATCTTTGTTAAAAGGGGAACACAACCACTTAATAATACCTTTTTCTAACTATGTTAAAATAGAACGTTAGTACAGAAATGCAAATATGGTGAACAAATCATCTTAAATCTAAAGAAGCAGGTGAAATACAGAAATTAGTTCGGGTGGTATAGCGGGATGAGATGCCCGGATATGCTTTTAACGGCTCTCTGGTCCTGTTTAATCAAAGCAAGAGATCTGTGTGAATATTAGACACGTCATCACTAATTCTGTTTTTATTTTTCTCCATCAGTATCAATGTATGTATAAGCTGGAGAGGGTATGGATGGTTGGTATCCAAACTAATTACTAATGTGTTGCAATACATCACGAAGCACTTTTCAAATGCTTCTAAAATAAGGGGATTAAATCTAGCCGAAATTAGCAAACGGCTGAGGGTGATGCATGCTTTTTTTTTTTTTCTCCAATCAAATTTAAGACTCCCCTTATTCTAATTACTGGTGCACTTTAGAACGTAAAACCTTTTTATACCAGTAAGAATTATAAAGGGAAAGAAGAAAAAAAAATCATTTAGAGTAGCAGGCCGTTACACTCAAAAAGTCACACCTGAAACCAGGCTTTTGTTGTTGTTGTTTTGTTAGCCCAACGGTGCTTTGACTGACATCTAGGCTTCCTCCCCAGTGCATTACACCGCAAACACTGGTTACACACAAACTTTTAAAATTGCATTTCAAATATGGCGATACCTGGCCTATTAATAAGCATAAATGCCATAGGAAGAGTGGGCCTCATTCAACATTTGTCTGTAGACTGAGAGCTGAGCAGCAGAAATAAAGGACGGGTAAAAAGCAAAGCAGTGGGTAATAAATCATAAGGGCTGGAAATGCTTTGGTTGAACTGTTACTGAATTAAAAATAAAATCAAATTATATTAATTCAACGTTATATTAATAAACCTAAATTACGTTTTCAAAGTAACAATTGGCCTAATCAATTATTCAGCAATGTTTGACAGCTGTACTGTTATAGATCAGAGGGTATTTTAAACAGTTATATAAGACTCAGTTAGACTCAATCGTAAACTGAAGGAGTTTTAAACTCGTCGCTTTTGCTTCCTTGCTAAAGTATAGTCAGAGAAATGATAACTTGAATGCAGATGTATCATTGAGAGATCCTTTGTAAAAATGGATTAATTAAGCCAGCATAAAACTAACATTCTGGAGTTGGTGGATAGGGGGCAGAGTAAAGAGGCAAAGAGCGAATAAGAGAGAAAGTACACACTAAAGATGGACATGCATCACAGAGTGCCACTGCACTAAAACATGGACGCCAGCACCTTTGACAGGTCCTTGAAATTGCTTTGCATTTAGCTCTTTTTTTTAAAACAATCCCGGATAAGCTTGAGAGAGATTGTGAATGCTGGGTTGAGCTCTGGTGTCAAAGGGGACTTACTCCCTTCCTCATTGTTTCTGCTGTTATAATACATTCTTTCCTCTCTGCTGAGAAACAGAGTTTATGGAGTTGATGAGTTGACAGTTCAAAAAAAAAAAGAATGTATAAAAAAAGAAGATATGGGAACTGAAGGGCAGAAAGAACAAAAAAGAAGCTACAGTCAGATCAGAGGGGAGCAAAGACAGATGTGCTCAGAGAAAACTATTCTTTTCAGTGTCTGTTGTTTAGCATGCTGCTATTTCTACTACAAAATTTTTTGTAGATTTGCTATTGGTATTTTGCATGTGAGGAGCAGGTGACAATAGTTATCATTTTACTATATCCAGGCTAATTTCTCATTATAAATCTAAACACAATTTCTACATTTATTTTCCACCCGTTCTTATTGTTTTTACAGGAGTATTTTCCCTTGAATCTCCTCAAATAGGTACATTTAATTCAGCTGTGGGCGAGTTCACTGCTTTAAAGGGGTCATAGAATGATTCTATAGGGTATTTGGTGCTGGTCCTTGAGGTGTCTGAATAGGGTGTGTAACATTGGTTGGTCTGAAAATGGCACATTTGCTGTTCTATGAGCCCTAATGCAAGCCTGGTTAAAAGCCTTGGAATGAAAAGACAGGTTTTCTTCTTTTTATGGTATGCTCATGAACATTTAGATGAGCTGTGCACTGATTGGTTAGTTTACAAAGAGCGAAGCTGCTGAGCAAAGATGCATCATAGCAACAAGCACTCACTCACTGAAACATCGAAATTGTTGATATGATAGGGTGACCAGACGTCCTCTTTTTGCCGGACATGTCCTACTTTTCATACCTAGAAAATGCCTTGAGGGAATTTCTAAATCATCCAGAATTTATGTTGACTACAGTGCAGCAGAACCGAGCTGTCAGCTCCGAGGCTGGCAGTACGGTCGGAACAGCCCCTCGTTTCAGTAAAAGAAGTTTAGCAAACCCTGCTTTGAACTGTCAGAGGTATGAAAGCTGTCTTCGGTAAAATGCTCAGAGCAAATGAACAGCTGAGCATCAAACTTTGCAGGGATTTTCTGATAGACAAAAATAATCCATGCCTGTCCAGTCTTTGGATCCTTGGGAAGACTGTGAAAATTTTCCCTTACTCCGTCCAGCCTGGAACACTACATTTACGCCCGTAGTTCTGGCTAATTTTCAATAGAGAAACTGCCTGCTTTGTAATTAATGTAGAAGTAAACCCAACTGTAGGATAAACAGCTAAACTGGTGTCTTCCATCGACTTCTATTCATGTTCTTTGGGAAATGAACCAGTGTGCTGGTCATTGAGTCAACTTCGTGACGTGACAAAAGTACAGGCCAGAACCAAATAAGGCAACATCCCCGAATTGTCGTCATTTCGGCGCTTTGTCTGGATTCGTCCGTTTTATGGTGGAAGTTTAAAATTGTGACTTTTGCAAAGAAAGGAGGTGGTGAAGATGTTTGAACGTCTCTGTACGTCCATTTCACCCAATGAACTATAGTTATTCGTCTATGGCAAGGTAAACTCTCTTTGCATTCTGTGACGCCTTTAATGGCTTCTAGGCTGGCTTGAATTATCCTTTTTATAAACTCAAAACAGTGAAGTTTAATCACAAACTAAGCACAGATTCTTGCAGGCACAGTTAGTGGATTTTGGTGCCTGCATTTAATTTGTTAATAATAACTCTACTAGGGGTGGAACAGTTCACAAAATCCACGGTTCAGTTCGGTTCACGGTTTCGTGGTCACGGTTTTCGGTTCGGTTTGGTATATGTAGATTGTTACACCGAAAAATAAAAAAATGTATGAAAATTATAAAAATTTATGAAACAAATTTTTTTTAAATGAAATTAATGAAAAAATCCCCCAAAAATTTAATGAATTGTAATTATTTTTAATGATCCGCGGAAACCCTGGATCATTTCTGCATGTTATCCTACTTTGAATTTAATCATCTCGCGCATGCCCTCGCGCATGAACCGAACGCAAGACACGCGAATCGAACCAAGACAGTCGAACCGAACGGTTCGGACGGTTTTCATAAACCGTTCCATCCCTAATCTCTACTATTACAGTTTTTTTTGCATTTTGTGACCTAGTTTAAGAAACATAAATTCAAATATTATAAATGTAACATTGAAAGAGTAACCAGAGTTTACAAATGAGTGTACATTAAACCAGTTATACATTTAGCATCAAGGTGTGTAACATCAAAAGAATGTAAAATTAAAAATGTATGTCAAACTAGCTCTATGTATTATTAATTAATAGACATAAAAATGAGAAAAAATCTGCGCTCTGCTTTATTTACCTTTATATTTATTTATGCTTGAATAAATTATAAACTCAAATTCCATATTTTCGTGTAAGCTGCAGGGATTTATAAGACGCAGAAGGAAAAAATGTATTATTCTGATCGTCCAATTACTTACCCACAGTTGACCCAGGCGATGGTCCCTTGTCCCTTCACTCTTTGGGCAACATCAGACAGCAGTTTAAGATAAGTGTCGCTCGATGTAGCTGTGGACAGGGAATAAAATCATCAGCCTTATTACCAAAACAGTTCAACAGCCCAGAAAGGCAGATTTTAACATTAGGCCAGACAAAGAGGAAACGAGTTGGATTACAGCAGATAGCAAACTTTCGCAATGGCAGAAGGTGAAGAAGAAAGAGTTCACTGGGTTTGGCTTAGAGCGATGATGGGAGAGGATTCTTTCAAACCTTTCAGGGGACAGATCCACATAAGTGGATCAAGTTGCATCCTCTTTCATCATTGTACAATGGAGTAAATGTCCAAAAGATGGGAGGATTACACACAAAAGGCAGAAATGATAAACCGCACCAACCTTTTGGGCAATGAGGATGAAAAGCAGGCCGGTTCATACGAGCTCTACATTTCACAAGCTATATTACAGGATATTCCAATTGTCTTGTATGAATTCAATCAAAAACACTCCATGATGGCTAGGGACTTGCTCAGTCTCCTAAATCATAGATAAAATACACCTTAGGTGAACATTTCACTTTAAGGAAATAGAAAACAAACTTTATCAGCCAACACTGGATTATCTCAGACGCTTATCAGCTATCGCAAGCAAAGTGAATTCCTCTGAGCAAAGTCAACAAAGAGATATTCTACTCCTTAATACATTTCAACATGTTATACTCCCCCAAAAATCAACATGCTTTTTTTAATGCATGAACTGAACTACCTGAATGGTGCAAGACTATTTATAGATGCAAAAGGCCCTACTGACCTAACTCAAAGAACACCACTAAGAAAAGTCATTTATAACGGGTTTAGGATCATGTGTGCTTTAAGAGGTCAGGAATAAATAGTCAGAAGACCCGGTTAAAACTGCCAAAGAAATTAGCGATACATCAATAAAGCTTTCACTAGATTTTCATCTTGTTCTGAAATGTCTTTTTCAATTGTTCAAGTTTATTTCCAAGATGCATCTTTTCATAAACTATGAACGTATCCCTGTAGCTGTTGATACTTCCACTGCCATGCTTCACAAGTGGGGGTAAACTATAAACAGGTCTACTTGTGGTTTTCTATTAACACTAGCTTGATTATGGAGGTAAATCTGAATCAAAATAAATGTAGCACCCTTGAAGTCGCAGAGAAAAAGACAATAGGAGTTTTATAAATGTAGAATTTTTTTTTTCTCTTTCAAAATAATAAAAAAAAAATTCACAGCTCTTTAAATTCATGAGTAAAAGTTGCTTGAGTTGCACATCAATAATCTCTTGTATTCTCAGTTTTTCTCCGGTAGATAATTGAAAAACATTAAAATCTTGCCACCATTTTTTAAATCACATTTTCCTTTTTCTTTTTTCTTTTTTAGCCCAACGGTGCATGACATCTAGGCTTCCTCCCCAGTGCATTACACCACAGACGCTAGTTACACAGAAACTTAAAAAACTGCATTTGACTTATGGTGATACCCTGCCTATTAATGAGCATAAATGCCATAGGAAGAGTGGGCCTCATTCAAAAAACAGGGTTGGGGGGGGGGGGGGGGGGGGGTCTTAAACGGCACTAGATGTTCGTGTTTTTTCTTTTTTTTTGTAGAAATAAAGCAGTAGCAGAAATTAAGGACTGGTAAAAAGCAAAGCAGTGGGGAATAAATCACAAGGGCTGGAAATAGGGGAATTGATTTTCACGATTCCATTCCCTTATCGATTCTGTGAGACAATTTGATTCCTTATTGATTCTCGTCACAGTCATCTAAAAATATAATGGAGAGGGCATCTGTTTATTGAAAGAGCATTACTGTACAATAAACTCATCTCCACTTTATCCTTTTTCTCGCTCCCTGAACTTCCTAGCATGTTTCGTTACATCCATTGCAGTAGCTAGAATCATGTAAGAATTCCAGCTACCAGTAGTTCTAATTAAACATGCTAGCAATTAGGGGGTGGATTAACGAGAAAGACAGAAACCCTTAATAACCCCAAAGTAAGGTAGGAAATGGGTTTATTTCCAGAAATGGCATATGATCTACTAGGAACCACATTAAGCACAGCCAGTGATATAAAACTAGCTACTTACCACCAGAGTTGCCTTCCATGCTGGTCGTAACTTTAGCTTTTGTCCAGAAGGCATCAAAAACACGGCATTCGTTAAAATGTAAGCAATGTTGTGTGCGCAGGTGTTTCTGCATGTTGCATGTATTTCCTCCGGCCACTTTGCAATGATTGCAAAGCGCCTTGTTACAATCTTTCTCTTCCTTAAAATGAAGCCAAACTTTCTATCGCTTTACCCGATGGGACGCCATTTTTTTTGTTTCGGTTTTCTAGACGTACGCCTGGTCACGTCGTACTTGCTTACTGAATGTCATGTGCATAACTTGCATAAAAAACGTGTCGTCAGTCGTGCTGCCCAGCGCTAGGCTCTGGTGCTGCCTGAACCCGTTAAGACTCGTTAAGAAACCCGTAAGAATCGTTAAGCGAGCTGCCAAACAGTGCCAAAACGGTAAAAATAAAATATATATATTCAAAATTATATCAATAGACCTAAATCAAGTTACAAAGTAAAGATTGGCCAAATTAATTATTCAGCAATGTTGACGTACCGTTAAGAATAAGAGGATATTTTAAACGTATTATAAGACTCAATTGGACTCAATCATACAATGAAGGAGTTTTAAACTCGTCGCTTCTGCTTCCTGGCTAAAGAACAGTCAGAGAAATGCAGAGGTTCATGCAGTCCCAGAACATATTGACTGAAGACGAAAAAATAATGTGACGAGGTTAAACATACAAAGATCATAACATGCATGAGTGCATATTGTGATGTTTATAAATGAAAGTGTCTGTGTGAAGACACAGCTGCTGCTTCTTCAAGCCATAGTTCAACATGTTGAAGCTGTCCAGTCAACCTAAACCGGCTTAAAGTGTCATGAATCATGTTTCTCTAATAGCCTGTAGGATATGCTTACTCATTCTTTTTTATTATTTACATTTTTTTAACGAGTAGTGATTTTTAATGTATGTGAACAGAGGAACGATTTGAATTTAAACTCAATGGATGAATTTACGCTTAAAATTATTCATAAGTTCGGCAGATCTACGGTTTTTCCCATTGTATTCAGAAAGTGTAGGAAACGAGACAGCTATCTGTTCAGATATAAAGTAAGAGGAAGGAAGTATAAAAAACCATCTGCTGCTCTACCTGCATAAAATGTAAGTTAGAGGAGGAACAAATTCCCTCAGGGAGTCTACCTTCCACCAGTGCAGCAGGTCGAAGATGAGGCTTTGACAGGGATTAATTATGTCGGCCATCCTTTACACAATATGATCCCATCGTTAGTGTCGCTGTTAGCTGACCGGTCATTTCCTTATTTAAGTCATATCTTTAAATGCTGCAGCAAAAACAGATGGTCATGTGGACAATGCTAGAGGTTCTTCGTTGCTGGCATTTGGAAATTGTTATTTCTGGTTTGTGATAAAGGCATCAAAACTAAGAATCCAAAATAAAAAAATTTAACCATTCCGGGAGAACTGAAAGGTTATAAACTGTTCCGACTGGTTTCGATGCCCAACCATTTACATTGTTTTCAAGCTGTGAGGCAGAACTTTTTTTGAAAGTAAAGGTCTACAGTATCACTGTCAAATATAGATAAACATATTAGTAGGTCCAAATTTTAACTATACCAGTGATCACCACCATCACCAGAAATCCCAGAGTGAAAAGGAAAGAACGAGCCCATCGCTCTGCAGCCAGAAAGTGTGAACTTGCTTTGCTTGCTCTGCATATAAAATAGATTTTAGTAGTAAAATTTCAATGTTAGGTTGCTGTTGAGGATTTGAAAACCTTCATAGAAACCAAACAAATGTAAAATTATAAAAATCAAATCAAACTGGAAAATAATACAAACTGATAACATGTTTGGTTCTGCTTCACTTTACAATGTAACCCCATCAGGTCTTTGGCGAGGTCTGAATGAAACTCTGGCTCAGATGAACACTTTAAAACCTGACCCTTTTCCTCCATCTCATCTTCATCCAATTCCTCCTAATCTGAATTCTATCAATCAAAAAAGTGTAAAAACGCATCTACTAAATGGAATTTATCGGCTTGATCCTCATCGTCTCCTGTTGGTCTTTACTGCGTTGTGTCAAACCTAAATTGTGTGTTACTGACCCTAATATACCAAGATAGTGGGTAAAATCCTCTCACCTCATTAATTAACCAAATACAGTGCAAATATTACAAGTTAATATTTAAAAAAAAAAATTATTTATATATATATATATATATATGGATAGAGAGAGAGAGAGAGAGAGAGAGAGAGAGAGAGAGAGAGAGAGAGAGAGAGAGAGAGAGGGAGGAAATTTTAATCCTTACATTTCTGGTTGTTTTATGTATGGCTGAATACTCAGGTTATTTGTAATGCTGGATAAAAATGAAATAGTTTTAGCTAAAAGTATAACTCAGTTTCCACAGACTTTCTCAGCCTTCAGATTCGGGAGCCAAATGCTGACATGAAGGCGGCAAAGGAAATAAGAAGAAATCAACTCTGAACCAGCCAAATGGGTTTTTCCCTCCATTAATAAAATCTACATCAACATTCAGCAGTTTCCTTGGATGCAGAGGGAAAACCTGTGGGCTGAACAAATTGTCATTGATTTAGAGCTGTTATTTCGAACCTGTCTTTGTGTAGAGCACCAGAACATTGGTTCTTGTCCTGAGCAGCTTCTTGAAGTCCTTGTGGTCGCTGACTTTTTCTATGAGAGGAGACACTTTCACAGCCTCCATCAACGACAACGACAGCATCTGGAGAAACATACACAAAACATGCATTTTAGGCACAACACTTACACAACTGGCCGTTAAGGTTTTCTACTCGTTTAAGTGACAAAATGCTTATAACTCAAAAAAAGATTCCTCATACTCATTCCTTCATATAGTATAGTAAGTAAAGTAATAACTGTTTATATAGTATAGTAAAATCTGTTTCCAACTCGTTATTTCTTAGTTAAGGGGGAAGTTTCCTAACTATTTAAGAGGTTTTTTGTGACTCCCTTCAAAGGTTATATAGTGAGGAAAATAAGTATTTGAACACCCTGCTATTTTGCAAGTTCTTCCACTTAGAAATCATGGAGGAGTCTGAAATTGTCATTGTAGGTGCATGTCCACTCTGAGAGGAATAATATAAAAAAAAAAGCCAGAAATCAAAATGTATGTTTTCTTTTTTTACTATTTATTAGTATGATACAGCTGAGAATAAGTATTTCAACACCTGTCTATCAGCTAGAGTTCAGAGCCTCAAAGACATGTTAGTCTGCCTTCATAATAGCTTGGTTCTGATGACCGTTTACACATCACGCTATCTTGGTTCCTCAACTCCTCGCTTCCTAGTGACGATCTGCGGTATTACTGCCAGTATTTAAGGAGGAAATCAAGCAGTTGGTGGCGGTAATGCACCAAAAGTTGTTTGCCAACCACTATAAAACACAAGAAGAAGAAGACGAAGAAGGAGGGAATCAAGCACATCAAAATGGCGGCGTCCGTCACATTCAGAAAGTTATGCTTGATTATTATTGCTGTACTTCGGTGTTTGCCGAGGGTCAGGCGAAGACGGCAACCTTTCGTGGATGTTTATAGTTTTTTATAGTTGTTCTTCTTCTGTTTTGTGTTGGTTGGCAAGCAACTTCCGGAGGGGCATTACTGCCAACTACTGGAACAGAGTGTGAATGGGGATGTGCAGCCAGACGGAGATGACGGGTTCTGCTCATGTGCTCTTGTTATAAGAGAACCGAGCCAGGGAAAAACTGAGCCAAGCGCACCTCTGGAACTGGTCTGCAGTTAGCTCGGTTCGGTTGTGTCTAGCTCGGTTAAATGGGGTAATACTCTACAATGCACCTGTTTGAGGGCATTAGCTGCATAAATACACCAGTCCACCCCATACAATCAGTTTTAATCCAGCTACTAACATGGCCAAAACAAAAGAGCTGTCCAACGACAATAGAGACTAAATTGTAAACTTCCACAAGGCTGGAAAGAGCAAGCAGCTGGGTGAAAAAAGGTCCACTGTTGGAGCAATCGTTGGAAAATGGAAGAAGCTAAACATGACTGTTAATCTCCCTCAGACTGGAGCTCCACACTGCAAAAACGATCTAGAAATAAGTACAAATTTCTTAAATTAAGTGTAGTCAACCTTAATTTGAGCAGGTAAATGAGATACTTTGCCAATGGAAGTAGTTTTAGTCTTAAAATAAGATAATTAGATGCACTTGAGATAAGACAATGGAATTGTTATTTCTTATTTTAAGTGTAAATTGTCTTGTTCCATTGGCAAAATGTCTCTTTTACCTCCTCAATTCAAGAACAAATGAACTTATTTTAAGAAAAAATTGACTTATCTAGATTTAGATTTTTTGCAGTGCATGCAAGAGCTCACCTCTTGTGGTCTCAATGATCCTAAGAAAGGTGAGAAATCAGCCCAGAACTACAAAGGAGGAGCAGGTCAATGACCTGAACAGAGCTGGGACCACCGTTTCCAAGGTTACTGCTGGTTATACACTAAGACGTCATGGTTTGAAATCTTAAAAAAAAAAAAAAAAATCTCTATTAGACGAACATACAGGTGCTGGTCATAAAATTAGAATATCATGAAAAAGTTGATTGATTTCAGTAATTCCATTTAAAAAGTGAAACTTGTATATTATATTCATACATTACATACAAACTCATATATTTCAGATGTTTATTTTGTTTAATTTTGATGATTACAAATGACAACAAATGAAAATCTCAAATTCATCATATCAGAAAATTAGAATATTACTGAAGACCAATAAAAACAAAGGATTTATAGAAATGTTGGCCAACTGAAAAGTATGAACATGAAAAGTATGAGCATGTACAGCACTCAGTATTTAGTTGGGCCTCCTTTGGCCTGTATTACTGCAGCAATGCGGCGTGGCATGGAGTCGATCAGTCTGTGGCACTGCTCAGGTGTTATGATAGCCCAGGTTGCTCTAATAGTGGCTTTTAGCTCTTCTGAATTGTTGGGTCTGGTGTATTGCATCTTCTTCTTCACAATACCCCATAGATTTTCTATGGGGTTAAGGTCAGGAGAGTTTGCTGGCCAATTAAGAACAGGGATACCATGGTCCTTCAACCAGGTACTGGTAGCTTTGGCACTGTGTGCAGGTGCCAAGTCCTGTTGGAAAATGAAATCTGCATCTCCAAAAAGTTGGTCAGCTGCAGGAAGCATGAAGTGCTCTAAAACTTCCTGGTATGTGGCTGCGTTGACCCTGGACCTCAGAAAACACAATGGACCAACACCAGCAGATGACATGGCACCCCAAACCATCACTGACTGTGGAAACTTTACACTGGACTTCAAGCAACGTGGATGAAGTGCCTCTCTTCTTTTCCTCCAGACTCTGGGACCTTGATTTCCAAAGGAAATGCAAAATTTACTTTCATCAGAGAACATGACTTTGGACCACTCACCAGCAGTCCAGTCCTGTTTCTCTTTAGCCCAGGCAAGACGCTTCTGACGCTGTCTGTGGTTCAAGAGTGGCTTGACACAAGGAATGCGACAGCAGAAACCCATGTCTTTCATACGTCTGTGTGTGGTGGTTCTTGAAGCACTCACTCCAGCTGCAGTCCACTCTTTGTGAATCTCCCCCACATTTTTGAATGGGTTTTGTTTCACAATCCTCTCCAGGGTGCGGTTATCTCTCTTGCTTGTACACTTTTTTCGACCACATCTTTTCCTTCCCTTCGCCTCTCTATTAATGTGCTTGGACACTGAGCTCTGTGAACAGCCAGCCTCTTTAGCGATGACCTTTTGTGTCTTGCCCTCCTTGTGCAAGGTGTCGATGGTCGTCTTTTGGACAACTGTCAAGTCAGCAGTCTTCCCCATGATTGTGTAGCCTATAGAACTAGACTGAAAGACCATTTAAAGGCTTTTGCAGGTGGTTTGAGTTAATTAGCTGATTAGAGTGTGGCACCAGGGGCCATCAATTTTGAACCTTTTCACAATATTCTAATTTTCTGATATGATGAATTTGAGATTTTCATTTGTTGTCATTTGTAATCATCAAAATTAAACAAAATAAACATCTGAAATATATGAGTTTGTATGTAATGTATGAATATAATATACAAGTTTCACTTTTTAAATGGAATTACTGAAATCAATCAACTTTTTCATGATATTCTAATTTTATGACCAGCACCTGTAAGTAACTCTTTAAAAAAAGGCTGGATGCTGGCTGTAATGATAATGTGCAACAAAATAGGGACTTCAAAAACAGAAGTGCAACATCAGTCTGAACAACTGCTGCGCCTTTGCAATTACCAGCAGTTGAACAAATCGTGTGAAACTTCTAATGTAGGAAACAAAGCCCAAACTGTGTGGCTTGGACTTTATTCAAAGATGACTAAAGAAAAGAAGACTGATTACTCTCCATCCACATAGAGCCATTTCTTTGCATTCTAATCCTCTGTGAGCCTTCACCATTCATTAAAAAGCACCTTATTTCTGCCTACAGGGAAGTAAATTAGACACCAAACATTGTCTGAGCGCTCAGCGGATCCAGTCTGATGAGTGATATCAACCAGAATGAAAACAAGCACCTGTCAGGCTCATTTTCTATTTTAATTTGTAATAAGATCTGAGGTGAGCGAGTGCTGTGTATCTGAAAATAAGTGGATCATTTGCATAAAAGTATATTTGAAAATTAACACAAATCTAAGGGGCTCAGAAAGACAGTGAAGCTGTTTGTTTATCAATGTGCTGCAGCTCTGTTCTAAAGAGAAATGAGTGATGGAAGCTCAGTCCAGCTAATAACAGGTGGTATATTCACCGTATCATGTTATCAGCTCTTCACATACAACACAAAAAAAACATTCAAACAGCATCCTTTAGCTTTTTTTATTTTTATTCTTTCTGCCTAATTAAAAGCCACTAGTGTCATGTATATCTTAGGCATGAAATGCTATATATAAAACCAAAGCAGCATTTTGAAGCATAAATCTGATTAAGGAAAATTAGACATGATGTATAAAACATTCTTCCCCCAAAAAATGTTAAACTTTTGGCATGCATTTGTAATTAGCACCTCTTTTATACTTTGTTGTTAATTGTTTTAGTCTGATCTCTACATTGATTACTGCCTTTTATTCCCTGATCCGAAGTCCATCTCAGTGCCTTAAGCCTCTGCTGGAGATTTCTTCCTGTTAAAAGGAAGATTTTCCTCTCAACTGTCGCTAAAAGCATGCTTAAGGTGAGGGATTGCATTTGAGTCAATGAGTCGATGCAATTAACTAATCTAGTGAACTGTAAAGTGCCTTTAGATGACATATGTTGTGAATTGGCGCTATATAAATAAACTGAATTGAATTGCCTTCGACTATGCAGCTAAGTGTCAAGCAGTCTGCAGCCGCAAGGTAACAGTTTCCTTTCAGATGTGCCGCCTTATTAAGCTCCATTCAACTCTCTCAAGCTTCCCTGATCCTGATTAGTATAAATATTCCTTAGCATGATGCGGCCACTACCATGGTTCATGCTAGTGATGGTGGTTGTAAGCCGATAAGCATTTTGTTTTCTGCATCCACAGCATTTTTCATGTCTACCAAAAAGTTCATATTTCATATCAAAAGACCTTATAGCCAAAGTTGCTGAGTTTTCAAAACAGCTTTTGTCCAACTTTCAAACTTTTCATAAAGACCAGATTTACAGAGTGCATAACCAGAAGTTATCCATTTTCCTGCAGAGCTGCTGATCTCATTCCTTAGTGGTGAGTTTAAGGTAGACT